CTCGAACACTGCTTTCTTAAAATCGTATATGCATTTCTACAGGCATGACAGGAATTTCAGTAAAGGGATATTACGGGAACGTTGGATTAATCGGGGGCATAACTGTAGTCATCCCGCTTTAAGCCAAAATACACCACACTGTACCTTCGGCCGTCTTCGAAAATTTACAGAACACAGTGGCAATTTTAAATATTCCGAAGAGGATTTGTCCTATCAAAAAGTTAGGTAAAGTCTCAGACAACAGCAGTCTACGCCACCACGGTGTTTTTTCGTGATAATAAGTCACTTTACCGTTATAACCTCATCTGAGTGGCCAGGTTACCTTTGAGAGCTGTCCTTTCCCAAACGGTGTCTTTACTGCGGACGCAGCTATGCTCACGCCTTACGGAAGACACGCTACGGCTAATAAGCCATAAGTAGCCATTCCAGTCTCCCTGGCCTCTGCCGAGACCCCTTTTGGCATGAATTCCTGGGCGCTGAGTGACTGTCTGCGAAGGCACTAGACTGAACCCCACGGTACAGCAGTAGGAGCAGGTCTCATAACCTCATCAGTCGGCACCTTTTGCATTATAATTAAAATTCCCGAGCGCAACCTAGAGGATGACGGGCCCGAGGCACAGCGGTAGAGCATTAGACTCAAAGACCAAGAATCCTGAATTTGAATTTCGAGTATGGAGTACTTGGACTGGACAGGGCTGACCAATGACGACTAATAACTCAGAAGTGAGCATTTGAGCTCTCCTTGCCTTTGTCGGTAATGTTATTCGGCCCAAAATGTTAGCTGCTGAGCGATTGCTGACGAAACTCATGAGCGAGTCCAGCGGCACATTGGGGGGGGGGGCATGTCCTGTAACCAGGTCAGTGAAAGTCACTCTCTCACAATGACAGGAAATTTCTTGAAAGGATAATTTGGATAAGCTGGCTTCTTCAGATGTATAATAACAGGCTTCCCAGAATGAGCCAAAACCTTTTAAACTGTCCCTTTAACCGTCTCAGGAGGCTTTTTTATGCTAAAAACTAGGTGCATTTCTAACTTTATTAAAGAGCACTCTATATCAGCATCAGCTTCTTGTAATAAATGGTCAGTTTACTGATCTCAACACCTGACGGATTATCGTTTAACCTTGAGGAATGGACCGACCCCGGACGGTGTATCTCTTGCAAATACAGCTATTCTTGCAATCCAAAGCAACTGGCGGCATGTGCTTTTGATTGGCCTGTTACAGTCGGGAGAACTCAAGGAAGTTTATGGTGCGTTTTTATGTTGAACAATTTCGGCAACATCACTCCTTGTTATCTGACAAACACAGAAATGCTTCCTTATAGGTCGCCATTTTGAGCAACTGAAGACCTGCTATACCTGGAGAAGAAACAAAACAATTTCTCTCCCCTATCTTGCGTTAAGATTTGGTTGGAGACTGAAGACAAATGGGGTAAAAATGGCCATCGTAGGCTTTCATCTTCGCCGCTAAACATTCTTGGTTCCAGAATGTTCCTCCAGACGTACCCAAAAGCGATCGAAATGACCCAAAGTCCTAGGAGGGGGTGCAATGTTGAAAGATAAACAGTTTCCTTTGTCTGACCTTTTCGATTCATTCTCAAAACCATCAGTATAGTCAACAGCAGGCAACGCCAATGGACGTAGTTTTTGCGCTATCATTCGGCGTCTAAACCTCGCAGCGCGACAACTGCATCCTGTGTAAGTACTGCACACACTCTCTCTATGCATCCGTTACCCTCATCCAATAATGTATAAGAGGGGAAATATGAAACGTCAATTGAAAAAGCTGCCTTGTTTCCCTGACGGAGACTCCTTTTTGCCGACTGTTTCCTACAAATCGTCCTTTCGATCTTATCACAAAGCGCAGTGCTCCGCTTCCGTTCTGCAAACAGACCGACCCAGTTAATGCCCACCTACGTCACTCTGAATACTCCGGGTGACAACCAATGAAGAGCCTGTTGTCATGCGATACACTTCCGAATTTTAAAGCAACTGAACTCCGAGAACGAGAGAAGGCTTAAAAATACAGATGATAGGCAAATGCCATTAGACCAAATGGGATTATTGAAGTCTTATAGCCTTCAGTAAAGCGCCCTCATTGTTGCACTGAGTAACCACTTTGAAAACCCAGGAGTCGGTCAGTCATATTGATTCAATTGAGCATAAATGCTCTCATTCTTAAGTCTCTAGGGTGAAGTAGCTCATCAGAGTCTATGAAAGTACAATAGGCGTGCTAACTCATGAGATGTTAACAGAAATTGTGAAATGTGTTTTCGCTTCGAAAAACTTACTTAAACGGAGTTTGAAATTTAACCATCGTGCAGCATAATTCTACAAAAAATTCAGTTACCTAAGGATGTCAATCTTCTAATGAACTTCCTTCCGGCTGCATGCAAATCTATACCTTGTTTAAAATGACTACTTAATTAGCATGCATTTTTCTCACTGATTTTCGATACCCTTAAAAGTTCAACTATATTTCATGGAACAAATGCATGAAAATATTCATTCTTCTGCTCATTTGGTAAAAAAATTACGCGCTCTTCCAATTTTATACTCAAAGGAAGGATATAGTTCGCTTTTCAAAATTTTGTATAATTCCCGAATCACTTTGAACCTCGAACTGCGTTACACTTGCATTCAGTGTTTCTAAACTACAAGCTGCATATTTTCCGCGTACGGAAAACCACACCTTTCTCTACGGTATTAAGAGGAGGCCATATGAGGTTCATAAAAGATGGCAGTGGATTTGAGCCATGTTGTTAACTTCACAAGACAAATTGGTGAATGCAGAGACATGACATTTTACGAGCGGCCATTTCACGTTATTAGAAAATTTTACAATTAGAAACTTTTTAAAATTGAATTACATCCTTCCACTGAATATAGAATTGGAAGAAAGCGTAATTTGTTAGCAAATGAGCAAAAGAATGAATATTTTCATGCATGTTTTCCACGAAATATAAGTAGACTTTTAGAGGCATCGAAAACCAATGAGAAAAATGCATGCCACATAAGTAGTTCTTTTTTACAGAGTAAAGCTTTCGCATGCAGCCGAAAAGAATTTCGTTCAAAGGCCGGCATCCCAGGGTAACTGAAATATTATAGAATTATGCTGCAAGATGATTAGTTTTACAGCCCTTCTTAATTAATCTTTTCGAAACGCAAACACATTTCGCAATTTTGGTTAACATTTTATGAGTTAACCCATCTACTGTGCGTAGATGAGAGCAATACTTCCAAGAATTGTTCGGATAGACTGTGGGAAACAGAAAGTTAATGCAGGCGATATAGGAGTGTATTGGCTCCATGTATTGTCAGCATGCCGAAGGGGACAAATAAGTAATCTTGTCAGAAAAGGTGGCGCAGTCACTCAAACTGTACTACATTATCGTCTGACGTCCTCGTGAAGTGGCCGCCTCCTACTCTACTGAATTTAGCGTCTAAAACAGCTGAAATGCCCTCTCATCAACGCCAATGCGGAATTGGTTCCTTTTGCAGTAAAGGAGGAAAACTATTCTGACTGTGTTAGTTCCGACTATGGCAAGGTCTGATCGGGCACTGTTTCAATCGGCAGGGCTGTGCCCAGTGTTCGGTGTCTTGTAAAATGAAAACTTTGTGCCCAACTCAGACTGCATGACAAATATAACTGGTTGCTTTTGCCGGTTGGATTCACTGCTTGCGTCCTTAAGACTGAAATTGTCTCTACTGGGACGGGGCTGTCAGTGAGAAGCGCAAAAGTAAGAAACAATGTTTTACACTTCAACTGTCTTTTGTCGAGCGAGTCCCTATGGCTGCAGTCCAAATATTTGGACCCCGAATCTTCACTTATGTAAACGCTGTCCCTCGAGAGTGGACCATCCCCACGGTAGGACATAAGACATGCGATCTACGTGCTTTCAGAGTATGCGATGTCCTAGCTGGCTATATTCTTCGGAAATTCGACTAAGGTTTGGTGGAAAAAAAGGGGAGACCGCTGACCTCAGGATGCCGGCTTTCGAACGAAGCTCTTTCCGGCCGCATGCAAAAACTACAATCTGTAAAAATTACTGCTAAATTAGCATGAATTTCTCTCATTGATAATCGACGCCCTTAAAAATCCAGTTACATCTCATAGAAAACTTGCATCCAGATAATCATTCTTTTACTCATTCGGTAGAAAATTACATCTTCTTCCAATTTTATACCCGAAAGAAGTACATAGTTCGGTTTTCAAAGACTTCTTATTCTCGAATAATATAAACCTGCTCTACAGTTACATTTGGATTCAGGCTTTCCAAACTACAAAACATTTATTTTCTGCGCACCAAAAAGCCTACATTTCTCTACGGTATTAAGAGGAGACCTTATAGGATTCATAAAGTTTAACAGCGAATTTGAATTCTATTGTAAACTTTACAAGCAACATTAGTAAGTGCAAAGACATGATGTTACATGAAAGGGCATTTCACGGTATTAAACAATCTCATAGTCAGAAACTTTTCGGAATCCGAGTTATACCATTTCCTCAAATATAAAATAAGACGCCGAGCATACTGCGTGATAGTTAATTTTAAAACTCCGCTTCAGTAATCTTTTTGCATTTTAGAATTTTGGTTAACATTTATTTTTTGGCACGTCTATTTTAGGGGCATTTTGAGGAAATCCAGGCGTCAAAATAACCTCAACGAGAACTGCTGACTACAAAAACGATGCTTTGTTGCTTATAAACGTGTGTACTAGATAAGCATAGAGGGCACACGCTCCCATGATGTTTAGGAATTTGAAGTGCGGCATAGGACTAAACAATCGAAAAACTCTATTGTGAGCTGCTATTATACAGCAAAGGGGCATGTTATCGTATCGATTTTGCTCAAGTCATCTGCTGGCAGCAAAACAAGTTAAAAAGGCTACAGTGATGAAGAAGAAGACACCATCGCCGGGACAAGAGCTTTATTAGCCTGACGTTTCGGATTCCTGCTCCAATCCATCATCAGAGACAGAAGCAGATAAGGGTGCTTCATGCATATGCGGCTGCAGTATTTATGGGATGCAGTGGCCATGCTACCGCATACCTATGAATATTCACGGCTCCCTCACCTTCATCAGGGATCTTTACACGTGGCGTGATGGCCGACATTCGCGTCGTTAATTGCTGCAATTGCATCACGTGCGTTGGATGTTGGTGTGATGATTGCTCGACCATCTGACGCGTTACCCGGGTGTTGGGAAGAGTGTTTACCTGTGCTCTCCCCGCATGGCCAATTACTCCGCCTAGACGAAGTCTCAGCACGGAGTATTGAATGGGAAGATCGTTGCACTTGTTAATAGACTGGGAACCAGTAAACCATGACACAAGCAGTTCCCGGCTCAAGCGGTTGTCACTTCTTGCGAGAATTTCTACCTCGTCGAATTTGAATGTGTGGCCGGATCTCGTCGAATGAGCCGCAACTTGAGAGCTAGCGTCATTTCTCCGCACCGCTTTAGCGTGTTCGGCCATTCGCGTTTGGAGTTGTCTTCCGGTGTCTCCGACGTAGTTGCTTTGTCCGCAACTGCACCAGATCCCATAAACGACTCCCGAGGTTTCTTGCCGTGGCAGTGGGTCTTTCGGTTTCATTAACTGACGCCTGATGGTTGCCTCCGGTCTGTGTGCAACTCCAACCCCAAGTGGTGCGAGAAAGCGGCCGACAGCTTCCGAAACGTTCTTGACATATGGAAGCGCTCGCCAAACTTCGGTGTCCGTGCGGTTAGGCCTTTCGTCCTTTTTGCGTATGCACCGGTTGATATAGTTGCGCGGGTAGCCATTGGCTTTGAAGACCCGTCGGAGGTATTGTAGTTCGGCAATCATGTCATCCGACTCACTGCAGTGCGTTTCGACACGCCGATAGAGCGTCCTTAAACAACTGCGTTTGTGGCTGATTGGGTGGTTACTGTTGAAGTTCAGTACTTGCATCGTATTTGTCGCTTTCCTGAATACTTTGGTCTTTAGTCCACCACTATCCTTGCGGCATACGAGGACATCCAGGAAGGCCAGCTGGTTGTTCTCTTCCTCCTCCATCGTAAATTGAATGTCCGGGAAGACGGCGTTGAGATGTTCTTGGAATGTCAACAACTGATCCCGTTCGATGACGACGAAGGTATCATCCACATACCGGGCCCAGAACTTCGGTTTGTGGTGTTGGAAGACCAGCGACTCTAACCGTTGCAGGACCGCCTCGGCGATGAATCCCGAAATCGGCGAACCTATTGGTGTGCCCTTCACCTGTTCGTAGATTGTCCCGTCGAACATGAAGTACGTCCTGAGACAGAACTTCAGGAGCTGAAGGATTTGGGCGTGTCCAAGACGGTTCTCCGTTTCATCGTATTTGCTTTGTAGTAGCAGTTCAACTGTCTCGATCGCCAGGTCCTGGGGAATAGAAGTAAAAAGGGAGGTAACATCAAAAGATACCATGACCTCAGTACGTTGGAGTTCCTTTGAGCGACACGATGGGTCGGAGAGGAGCGCCATCTTTGTGCACTTTAGGGAGGCAATAGAATCGGGTCAAAGCCGTATCTTGGGGTCTCGCCATGCGTCTGTCGGTCGGTGTTATTGCACCTGAGTTTTCCAAGTCCAACAACATAGCATTAATTTCGCGTGTCAGTACTTTTACGGGGTTCGTTGCACATGGGGCATAGAACTGTCGGTCCTCCAGTAAACCTTTGGCTTTTTGAACGTAGTCTGTCCTGTTCAGTACAACCGTGGAGAGCCCCTTGTCCACTGGCACGATGAACAAGTCTTTGTCGGCCTTGAGTTCTCTAACCGCATCACGTTCGACCTTAGAAAGCACTTCCCGCGGCCTGCGGGCTATTAGGAGAGACGACACTTGGTGTCGGATGAGGCGCTTAGTCTCCTCCGTTGCCTCCGTCTGACTAAGGATTGATTCCACTGCTGCAATCATGTTAACAGGTTTGGCGTCAGTCGTGTTAAATGAAGCTTCGTGCCTCTCCGACCCATCGTGTCGCTCAAAGGAACTCTATAGGATATTTTGTTAGAAGTCCAAAGAGCTGTAAGAGAAGATGATCCTAAACTAAAATACAACTGCTGATTGAGTCGCGAATCGAAAAACTTGTTAAACCGGAAGATATCGTTTCTTCAAGCGCGAAATTTGAAGAAGGTATGACTTTCTGCAGCATAAGTAGAAAAACGAATATTTTTTATGAAGGTTTTCCATAAAATATATAGGAATTGGCAAGGGCATCGAAGATGGACGAGGAAAATGTGTGCTACTAAAGTAGCCAATTTTAAATAGTGTACATTTCGAAGTTGGCCGCAAAAGAAGTGAATTAAAAAGCCAGCACCCTGACATATCTGAACTATGACGTACTTGCGTTGCAAGATAATCAGTCATACAGACCCACTCAAATAATCATTTCTAACTGAAAATGCATTTTAGAATTTCGTTCACTAACCGTGCGGCACTCATGATCACAGACCGTACACTGACATTAAACCTACAGAGTCCTGCTTGAGTTTTGTGCATGAATGTAGCAGGAGATTGGAATGTTCGGTTTTTCCTTGAAACTCTATAGTACAGCATCTGTATACTTCAAAAATAACTTTGTAATTCACGGTCCCTTGTGGAAGACCGTTATTGATTACACTTTACTGATCTACTAAGACCCAGTTTTCGTCCGGGGAAGTCCGTCACCACGGAATAGTGACAGAGCGGTCTACAGATAGCATGACTTCAGCCCCAGGCCAAGAACATCGCTCTACTCTCCCGCGTTGCCAGACTAAAAAAATAAATAGTAATCAATAACTAATAAAAAATATAAAACTAATTAATTGATAATTAAAACGTCATTGTGCCTGCAAAGTACGTAAATATGGACTCTTTTTTAATTCCGCAAGCTGCGGATACTGCCACTAACGTTACATTGTTGGCACATTCATCTTCAGCGTAACGAAAACCACACACTCATATATTCGCCTCTTTTGTTATATTCTGTTTCATATTTTATTGAACGGAACGTGCACTTATAATATACCTATATTTTTAGGATTTCAAAGTTTATTTGTTCTGTGGAACAAGGAGAAATTTAGACCTAAAGGACACTGTTTCCATCACTAGAGTAGGTGGGCTAACTCACGAAACGTCAGCAGAAATTCCGAAATGCGTTTTCGTTTCCTAAAGATTAAATAAGTAGGACAGTAAAATTAATCAGTCTGCAGTATAATTCTATAATAATTCAGTTACCACAAAATGCTGGCTTCCGAAGTAATATCCTTCCGGTTGCATACAGAAAACAACGTCTATAAAAAATTACTGCTTAATTAGCATGCATTTTATCTTCGATTTTCGATGCCCTTAAAAATCCGGTTGTATTTCATGGAAAACATGAATAAAATATTCATTCTTCCGCTAATTCGGTAGAAAAGTGTGTTTTCTTCTAATTTTATATTCGAAGGAGGGACATAATTCGGTTTTAAAAAAGGTTTCTAATCTTCGGAGACCTCAGATTTGGTGGCCTATGTGATCTCTGAATTGACAAGCAGGAAAAAAACTGAATGTTGATGCTTTGTCGGGTCAGAGAGCACTAAACGATCGTGCAACGGAACTCACTTGTCCCGCTGTGCCTTGGAGCTCTCTATTGAACTCCGCCAGCAGCCACACGGCGGTGCGTAATATAGGCCAAATAAAATTACCGACAAAGACAGGGTTGGGGTTGGGAATGACTCCCCAATCAAATTTGGGGATCCGCACGTTTCGCGTTCTGTAAATTCCTAGACCAAATATGCAGTCTTTGCATGCCATAGAACATGCGTGTTGTTTTGTGACTCGTGATAGGGAGTAGTATGGGCGTCTTGACAAAGCGAAAAATGTTAATTTATATTCCGGTCAAATGTTCGACAACGTCTGGCAGAATTTATCTTCTCTGGACAATTCCTTCGAGAATTACTTGGAAGGAAGCAAACTGGTCAATCTGCTTGACTTTTAGAATTCTTCACAGAACCTATCATCAGCGACATCAGTCGGTACTAGCAACGCGATGCCGGGCATGCGCATTTACCATATATATATATATATATATTCCTATGCGATGCGGTGACAGCTTGGTTATCCGGATCCGAGTCGTTGCTCCCTATGATTCCATCAAAGGTGTCGTAGGATATACATGACTGGCAATTTTTCCCGTCATTCATGTCACTGAAAACTGCGTTCACCGGCTCGCTCCCCTCGCTCCTGTAGGTTTCACCGTCATTAGTCGCAGTTATATCTGGAGATGGGCTTAAAACGAGACTCCAAAAGATCAGGTAGATAAAGATCGTGTCTCAAAAAATCAGTTTTCGTTCGCCTCGGACGATCACTCGAGTCATGCTTGGAAGAAGAAGACGATGCGGTCACCGGAAAAAGACGTTTACTAACCGGAAGTTTCGGATTTCCACTCGAACTCATTCTTATAGACATTCACAGATAAGGGTAGTGGAGATATGAGGAGAGTTGCTGTGGGACCGCACGCGTACAATAATTACCTACCCTCTCGATCACCGTTGGGGGCCGTAATTGATGAGATGATGACTTGTTAGTCCGCGCCCGTGTCGTTGATCACCGCCACCATCACTTCAATTACGACCTGCAGCTTTGGTCGTAAGAACTGCTGTCTATAGTACGCATGCGGTCCAACGGCGGCTACGTAATGTAAATACCGCCCTCCACATCCCTCCGCGGTCATTATCTGCAGTTGTCTCTGATGATGGGTTCGAGTAAAAATCCGAAATGCCCAGAGAATGAACGTTTTCTTCCAGGGATCACATCTTCTTCTTTTTCTTTTTCATCATCATCATCATCATCATCATCATCATCATCATCATCATCATCATCATCATCTTCTTCTTCTTCTTCTTCTTCTTCTAAATGTTTTCTCAAACTCGCCTGTTCGCTTTATTTAGCCTGACTATTAGCTACGCGGTCACAGATCGTTCGGTTTCTGGGATATATTGCAGCGAAGACTAAAGATAACGAACGTTAATTTCAAACTACTGATGAACTGAGCTAAATATTGACGGGAATTTCACTGCTGTAATTACTTCCAGAGACATGACGACGCCCTGATCTCGTTTTATTACGTTATCCGTAAGAGGTCTATCCTAGCATACACAGACTGTAGAAGAAATGGGTTTTTGGATTGCAGTAGGTAATGGGACAGAAAAAATGTTTGCCGTCAAATGAAAGGTGAAAAGAGAAAAAAGGGAGACGGCTTAACAAACGCAGGTTTCAAGAAGCTCCCCGGGTACAAGCAAAATTTTTCATTGACGAACGAGATTCGAATATAAATGGGAATTGGACTGTATAGTCGGTGGGTCCCATGAACCATCCTCTTGAAGTCCTTCGGGAAATTCCAAATTATTGATTTCTGTTAGCTGAAGTAGGTAACAGAGCTGTAGAAGATACTTCGGTACTACTAGAGATCTAACCATTCTTGAACTCCGATGGTCAAATCCCCGACAGAACGTCTACCCTTGGATAGATGTGGATTACTATCCCTAAGCCTTGCATTCGCAACATTTTTTATGGCGTCCCTCTGGACAATTAAATTTTCAGAGGTTGCCGATGGCTAGTCTCTCTTGTTCGCCTGACCTTAATCCAAATGACTGATTTTATGGGCCTGTTTGGATGGCCCTAGCCGTCTTTACCTGGCCCTTATGGATGAATTTAAGGCTGAAATGAAAATCTCCACTTACATGCTGCCTCTAAGCAGTTGGTTTCCAACGCAACTGACAATCTAATGCGGATTTTAGAGGTGAATTAACGGTGAGGATTGGACATTGGAGAGGGTGAGCGTTAACATTAAACGCAACTTTGATAAATCAGGATGTAGTGTGGCGTTAACGGTCTGCTAGAATTCTGTGTATCGTCGACCAGACTAGTTGCCAAAATTGAAAAAAAATTTATGAGCGCCCGAACTAGATACATATATATGTCAAGTAAGCGTGTGAGCCTAATCGTTATAGTTAGGATCTTACTCAATCCCATTCGGTCTGCGCGCTAGCTTGCTATTGGCGCCAACGAACGTTGTGCTGATGATCGGCATCGACCGCGAAACAGGTGGCTGCGTCTGGCTCTTGCACTCTTAGTGAGCTTCCTACGTGTTATGCATGCATATATGTATGTATTTTCAGCAACTACCGATCACTTCCCGACTGGAGAAGATAAAGAGCAATAAAGTCTATTTGCGATTAAGTTCTTCTCGCGCTAAGCCTCTGGGAGAATCTGCAAAAATTTATTTTTAAACATTTAGATCATTCTTTTCCATTTGAACTAATCAACGGTCTTAAAGATTTATTGTGTTTTCGACAGGACAGAGGTATATGACCCTCCATATTATAGGTAGCCCTGAGTTAAAGTGCAGGGGAGTTAGGTTTCATGTTGAAACACCTGAGTAGGGACCCCTACAATTTGACAATAAACCACACACGTTGTACGGAAGGCCCACATTCCCGTGTCCGACAGTTTTTTCCTTAAAAAG